AAGTGAGGTGGAAGCAACTTTCAAGGTGGCTTCAAACCATTTCCCATAGATTTCTCCTGCTCAAAACCCCCAATCATAGTCTCACCTCTGCAGAAACTTGTTTCTATAGTCTTTCCTTAAGATTTCTCATCCAGTGATCACAGACAGATTTATGAGCTGAGAAAGGTGGAGCCAGCATACATTGTTAGGGGCCCCCAGAATTACTCTCCTGACTGCTGCCCTTGGGTCAGGGGGACTTCTTCAACAATCCCATTTTGGTAGCTCCTCCACTATGACCAGATTCACTGCGGCACACAACACTTTTGACAAATTTACTTTTCAAATTATAAATGCAGACACACATGCACACAATCTGCTTATTCAATGTGAAAATCCCTGATAGACAGGAACTACATCTTTCTGGATTAATAAAGGTTACATTCCCAACACAGCCTCACAGATGCCCTCCCTCCGTTAAGCAGGGGTGGAGGGTAGGGTGGGGAAGGGGATGTTAAGGTCAGGCGTCTGAGCACAGAGATCAAAAATGTCACAGAACCATGGACAGTCAGAGCTGGAAGGAACCTGAGAGATCCAGGAAGGAGCTCAAACGCTTCTGCCCCCACACCACATGGAGGATAAAATGAAGGGCCAGAAAACAGAAGTACTATACTCGTGGTAATTAGTAAATCTGGATGACAACTATACCCCATTCTGCAAAGACTCATTTTTTGGGGGGTGAGCCAAACTACACAAAGCTGTACTTAATTGCTTTTTAAAACATCTTTTACCCTACATGGCAGAAGAATGCAAGAAATATTGCACAGGTTCTCATTTTCCCACCTTTTAAAGAAACCTCTATTTCAGACACTGTCAGAGAGAAGATAATGAAATCTCCTTGTTTCTCTGGCACATACAATCGAGGTGTTCTTCATCCCTTGGCCAGTGGACATTAAGAAAGCTCCACAGATCCAGTCTCCGTCTCTGGGACTTGCTGCTTTCTTTAAGTGGACAATGGCTATGCCTGGGAGAAGAGTCTCTTTCAGACCCTCTGTCCCCTACCTTTTGAGGATAAGAATAGATTTATGTGGATCCATTTTCACCAAATTGATGGGAAGGAAAAGTGGCTTTGAGGATGGGAGGAAAAATGAAAAGAACCTTTGTGAGGAAGAGAACAGGGACTTAGGCTGACATTTCTGCAGATATCCCTGTAAAGGTTTTTACAATGGAGTCTCCCTGAACCAAAGAAGATTTAGATTAGGAATCCAATTAGGCTAACATATGGTCACTACAAAGCAAAAGCCAGGCCTGAGCACAGTTCTTAGCAGTCAGTCAATAAGCATTTATTAAGCACCTACTATGTGCCAGGCACTGTGCTGAGCAATAGGGATACAAAAAGAGGTAAAAGATAGTCCCTGCCCTCAAAGAGCTCACACTCTTAACAGGGGAGACAACAAGCAAATAAATATATACAAATAAGCTATATACATGGAGGACAGGCAATGGTGACAGTATATATAGTATGCATTTAATAAATGCTTGTTGACTGTCTGACTGATTTCATTAGACATCCTAGCTATCTAGTTTAGCCCTCTATGAATTTACACTAACCCTACACCTGGGCTTACTGTATCTCTGAGAAGATACTACAACCTAAAGACTACATGTGGGGGTAGCTAGGTGGTGCAGTGGATGGAGCACCAGCCCTGGAGTCAGAAGGGCCTGGGGCCTGAGTTCAAATCCGGCGTCAGACACATAATACTCACTAGCTGTGTGACTCTGGGCAAGTCATTTAACCCTAATTGCCTCACTAAAAAAAAAAAAAACAAACTACACGTATGTATAACTATGTGTATTTATAACTCAGAAGAATTTGACCTAGAAGAACAGAGAGTTGGCTGTTTAGTTTGTTTTAACCATTGGCAAGCTAATCATCTAATAAAGCAGTCCTCACGTTACAAACCAACCTCCCCTAGATCCTTGAAATGTTCTACTTCAGTGCCACAACTAGGGCAGGGTGACAAGGGCTTTACCCTACGGTGCTGACATACACAACATAGTCTAACCTCTTGCCTTGCCCCTCCCCCACAGCAGTTCTTTAATCCACTAGTTCATGCCTCAGCCCCACACAGCCTTGCAGATGTGTCTGTTGTTCCTTTGACAGACTCATACCATATGGTACTGCCACCAGTGCTCTGTTCCTCTCCAAGGGCTTGACTTACCCTACTGTCATTTCTCTTCTCCCTGTTTCTTCCTGAGGAGGGGGAATATTGTAGCCTATGCCATGGACTGAATTCTTGAGAGGACAGGGTACCCTTCTTCCCATGATTGGGAAAATGCTTTACTGGAGCCATGGTGTATTGCTGCCAGCCCTGGGGCCCTGTGCCACACACTGACCAAGAGACCGAGGCTCAATGGTGAAGTTAGTGTGCACCAGCTCTGGTGAGGTCCTGAAGCCTTCACAAATTCTCCGTGAGGTTCCCTATTTCCTCTGCCACTCCTGATTCAACTGAACTGACCCTGAGTATCAGAATTCCTAGTTAAGGCTCTGCTCCATTTGGGCTTAGGAACTTAGTCAAGAAACATTTATTAAGTGTCTACTATGTGCCAGGTTCTGTGCTAAGTGCTAGGGATACAAATACAAATAAAAACAAAGACAGTCCCTGCCATCAAGGAGCTTACAATCTAATGGGGGAAGACCACAAAAAAAGGAAGCCAAAAAGGGGGCAGGGGAAGGCATGATGGGAGAGTGATGAGGGGAGTTGCAAAGAAGTCCAAAAGCCATGTAGCTGGTGGGGAATGGGGACAGGACCAGAATCTCACATAGGAACTTCTCTTTCCTCTCCTAGAGAAATAATGAATGACAGAGTAATATAAATCACTAAGAATAAGACCACACAAAATAAAATCATGACATATTCCTGGAAGATATGTAAGAAGACTGAAATGTTCATCATTTCTAGCACCATTTTATATACTAGAAAAATGAAGATTTAGAGAAAAATGATTTGCCCAAGGCCAAAGGCAGAGGTAAAGTCATGACAATAAGCCAAGTTCTCCCGACAACCTAGGATACAAAATAAGTGCCTAAGGAATACATATGGATTTATTGGTTGCTCTGTTCCATAATAGAACAAGTAAATACCTGGTATGCTTTTTTGAAAAACTGTGTACAATAATGTAATACAACCTAAAGTAAAGCCAAACTTTATGCATCTATTAATTGGGTTCAAAGATAGTTTGAATAGCCAACATCCACGGGCAATCCAGAAAACATGGTTTGCCCATTCATTTCTCCACTGAACTTCTAACTGGAGTTTACTCTTTATTCCCTGTCCTGTTTATCCTTTGGTAGAGGTGGCAGTGAGCAGGGAAATGGCAAAAATATGGGTAGCCCATACCCACTCAATAGCCTGTAAATAACTGAGCTACTTGAAAATAGAATTAGGCAGAGCCACAGACCAAGAAAAAAAAAACAACCCTGATGTTAGAGCAATAGAGAAGGTAGTGCAACTGCACTGTTGAAGAGGGAAGGGAGTAGCTACATATCTCTGAGGAGGGGACAACCATCTCTTATACACAGAAAAAGGGCTTCCTCTCCTAGTGTTGACCTCAGACCCCACAACTCTGTCACTGGATAGAAAGTGAGTACAAGGGAGAATATAAAAGAAACAAGACAGAACTGTTTTCCAATAAGATAACATAGTCTCATTGGTCTGAGTTTAAAGGGATCTCTTACTTTGTATGAATGCCTCTATTATGCTAAAATACTTCCCTACCACCAGGAAGGTAACTAGGGGCATATCCTGTGGGTTCACAATTATACCCAAAAGTTGCTTGAGGGTCCCAGAACAGAGAACATCAGTAGGGAACTGATTTGTGATGACCTAGTGCCCCCAGGCTCAGTATGCATGGCTGTGCTGCCATTCTGAGGCTCTTCTCATCAAATAACGGTACACCCATTACACAGATCAGAAGACTGGTCAACTGGAGGACTTCTTGAAAAAATAAGACATTAACGCCAGCAGTTCTTTGAGTTGTTCCTCAAAAGCCAAAAGAAATGCAAAGTTGGCAGATGTCACTGTTGCCTTGCCTAGTTCTTTGTCAGATATCCACTTCTCCAACATACACAGTCATAATTTCCTGGAACTAATGTCCTGACAAAGAATTCTCTACATCCAGGAATAAATGAGGATTTTTGAGTAACCTGAGAAAAACTGCAGAGTAATGAAGGGCAGAAGATTAACTTGGGAGAAGGGTGGGTGACAGTTTATCTATTAAAACTCAGATAGTGACAGGTAGGCTGCAAGTAGAATATGTGCGCACGCGCGTGCACGTATGTCCGAGGGCACATGCGTGCATATTAAGAGTTTAATGAGGATCCACCAAATAGAGATTCATGGGAAGGAGTTCCAAATGAAAGAATTCAGTGAGGAGTGGTTTGTTCATACTTTGGCCAAGAGAGGCAGGGGAAAAAGGGTGGGGCAGAATCAGAGTCTCGTAAGGCTGGGTGTAGATGAGGAAGGAACTGGCCCAATTCCCAGAATAACTTGGGGGAAGTTGGGGCTGTAAGTAGCAGAAGATCAAAACAAATGGTTTCAGGTAAAATTGTAACTGTGAACGTTGTCCTAGCACGGCCTCTCATGTCCTATATATCGTATACACTGCCATTAGTTGAGATTAGCACTGACTGAGAAACTGCCTCTTATTACGAATTTTTCAAAAGTCTTGTCTTCAAGGTTGGTTCATACCTGCCTAATAATAATACAGTTGATACACATTGTGCTTTAAGCTAGCATAATGCTTTACATACATTACCTCATTTAAGGTTGAGGGTTAAGCCTTAAAAGTAATGGATTAGGGTGGAAGGTATGTGGGCGTATTCACAGACATGAATTTACATTGTGGCACACAGGAGAAATTTCAGAAATGCTCTCTTCTTTGCTCTTCCGTGTTCTGACAACCCTTTGCCAGGGATTTCCTGTAGTAGTCACCACCCACCTTCTAGGGAAACTGCCTAGACTAGAGCATACTGAGAGCATCCATGAGGAAGAGGAACACCACGGGGCAGATGGACATTCTGGCTGGGAAATAGCAGGTATTTAGAATCAATCAGCAGGCTCAGTCAGACTGTGTGTATCTGAAGCAGGATTTTAACTGATTCCAGACTATTTCCCCTAGAAATGACAGAGCCTGGATTCCCACAGCTTCAGGGGTGGGGGCTGCTTGGGGGAAAAAAAAAAGAGTCAAAATGTGCATGACCAAAAATCAGGGCTTAGCAGCTCCATGAGGCCTGGGGTTCCCTCTGTGGATTCCTATTACTGCCTAGCAGTTCGATGGGCAATTTCAATTCAGTACAATATAGCAACTTTGGAATTATTCACTAGGAAGAAAAAAGTTGCCTTCTGGAACAATTACAAACTACAAGGATAAACAGATATACACAAGGAAGAGAATTTTAACCCACTGTATCTTCATACCTGTTTTTCATTCTTAGGAGAAATACAAGTCCAGAAACCTTTTCTTCAGACAGCTGAGGTCTCTCCTGGCTTTGCCCACAAGATGGGGGGAAGGGGGGTTGAGGGGGATTAGGAGGCAAGGGAGAGGGAAAGCAAAGGCATGTGACTGAGTTACACTGTGCTACAAGCCCTATCTATAATAGAGATTTGCTCTGCACTGTAAAACACTTACTTGATTTGCTGCTTAGCTTTTAATAAATATTTTTGCAGACATACAATAAATTACCTAAAGTAGCTATATAATAAAGGCGATATACCTCTGAGCAAGTTTCTACTTAATAAGGGAGAACCCTTTTCATATTTCAAAAATATTGTTCTTTAAACAGAACCCTTGAGACTCACCTTGAACGCAAGCAGGTGGTTTTCTAGTATAAATTGGAAACAGCAGCAGTTAGAGGGATTTTTTGTGCCAAACTCGGAGGAAATGTTTTTATAAGTGGAATAAGCAGAAGTAGGAGAATTTCTTTCACTTTGAATTGGAAGTTCCGAGTTACATTATCCTCGAATTACAAAGAAAGGGTTCAAAGGCTGAGTGAGTCCTTACTCCTTTCTGCTGGGGTAAGCAGGGAGGACAACCAAGAGGAAGAGACAAAAGAAATCACTCATTCTCTGGGAGAGTCCAAATGACTGGAAATTTGCTCCTCTTAACTCCCCCAGGAGGTACAGGCATAGGCACAGGGAGGGTTAGTGGCAGGGTAGTCCAGGAATAATTTTTCAGGGTTGCAGGAAAGGATGGAAAATCGGCAAACTAGGTCTGCTGTTGATTTTCTGGGGTCTCTATCCCTCAACTCTCTGGTCACAACTGCTACCAATGAATGACAAGCCAATCGGCAAGACTGGTGATTTTTTTTTTCTTTTGAGAAAAGGTGACAAATGGCAACAAAATCAGAAGTACCACAAAGGCTGGAAGGTAATTTTCAAGAAGTAAGCAATGTTCACACAAGTTCATCATCAAAGTGTTATCACAGCTCACCAAAAGGCTAATTTAAAGCTTTTAGAAAAAGCAAAAACATTTTATAAAGAAAACTGATGACCCACAGAGGCCAGATCCTACATTATTACATTTAAAGAGTACAGTGTTTGACGCTTTCTATTTGCAATAACATAAAGCTTTTAAGGCATTTTTTATTAATTTGCTCTATAGAATACTCTAACACCTTCCATACTCATCCCCTCCTCTCTATTCCTATTATTATCCTCCTACTACAGGTCCTGATTAACACCTGCCTCACCAAAACAATAACCAACAGGCATTCCTTATCTCCATTATCTCCCCTTTCCACTCAATCCTAGACAATTTTGCTGTTGAATAGATCTGGTCCTGTTGCTCCTCTGCTTAAAATCTTCCAGTGACTATTGGCTATTGAAGAAAATCAAACTTCTTAGTCTGGCATTCAATGACCTCACTAGTTGTCAAGCCACCTTTCCCATGTTATGTCCCACTGTTCTACACATACCATTTGTTTATGTGAAGCTGGTGGTCCTCCCACCCCCACTGTCCTCATTCCATCTCCAGGCCTTCCACTTCTCTCCACCTCTTCCATAAAGTCTTCCCTCTTCTCCGAGCAGCTGGCAATAGAGGTGGCATGGTATATGATGGAAAGAATGTAGACTTAGAGGCTGAAGAGACCTAGGTTTGAATATCACTTCAGACACTTACTAGTTGTGTGATCAAAGATCACATATTTAGAGCTTCAAAGGAAATAGTTATTTAGTCCAGCTCCTTCATTTTACAGATGAAGAAACTGAGGCCCAGAGAGAATAAATGATTTCTGCAAAGTCACAGAGGTAGAAAGTATAAGATCCTGGAACTGAACCCAGGTTCTCTGACTCCAAATCCAGCACTTTGAACCTCAGGAGTTCCACCATTTGACTTCCCCCTTCTCCCGAATCTTTTTATCTCTTTTCCTTTAAAAAAAAGTTTTATTGATAATTTTTTTTACATCAGTCATTTCTGGAAACAGACTCCCTTCCCTACTGTTGCTTGGAATTGAACCCTCTTTTATAACAAAGAAAAACTAATTAAGCAAAACTACCCCAAATAATGAGTGTCTTCATCAGATAATGCACACAGCACACTGCCCAGTAAGCCCCTGCCTCTCTAAGGAGAGGAGGGAGCTACAGTTCATTATCTGTTCTCTGGGATCATCAGTGATTTTTCATTTATTCAGAGCGGGGCTTCCTTCAGTGATCTTTTCACTCACATTGTTATAATAAGTGTACACGGTTTCTTGGTTCTGTGTATTTCACTGCATCAGTTCTTACAGATCTTTCCATGTTTCTCTGACTTCCTCATATTCACCCTTTCTTACTGCGTGAGAATATTCCATTATATTCCTATACTTCAGTTTATTCAATCATCCCCAACTGATGGGTACTCTCTTTGTTTCCAGTTCTTTGCTAGGACAGAAAGTGCTAGTCTGCATACTTCGGTATATTTCGGACCTTGGTTATCTTTGGCTTCTTCAGGGCACGTGCCTGGTACTGAGATTGCTGGTCAGGTGACAAACAGGTTAGTCACATTTCTTATATAATTACAAACTGGTATCCAGAATAGCTGAACCAACTTATTGCTCCACTAATGGTATCTTAGTGTGTACCTGTCTTCACATGGTTCCTCCAACACTGACTTTTCCTTTTTTCTGGTATCTTCACCAATTTGCAGTGGGTGAGGTGAGACATCAGGGTTATTTACTTTGTATTTCTCTTAGTATAAGTAATTTGGAGCACGTTACAGTTGTTTACAACTTGCATTTCTTCTTTTGAAAACTGTTTGCTCATATCTTTGGACTATTAAGGAATGGAAGCTACAATTTCCTCTTTTGTAAAATGGAGATAAAAACACCTGTAATATTGACCTTACAGGATAGCTACTATAGGCTTATGTGAATATCATACGTAAAATGCTTTGAAAACTTTAAAACATTATGTCAGTTATTGTTATTCAATAGTCTCCCTTTTCTTTGAATCCCTATAGCCCTTAAAGTCTGTTATCCACAGTGCCTTGACACCTACTCCAACAGATCTGTGGCCTCATTGATATGGACACTCTTTACTGGTACAGATTTAAACTCATTCATGCCTTTTCATCCTAGGTGGCTCATGTGGCATCCTCCTGCAAATCCTCCACAGAGGGTCCATCCAACAGATGGAGGGAATTCTTTGGGATTTCTTGAAATCCTATGCCGCACTGGTATTCAAACATCTTATCCAGTGGTTACTCTTTGCTCTGGCTATATGTCCTCAAAATTAGATGGCCTGTAGCACAGATCTCCTGTGTATGCTTGATCTAGTCCAGAAGCTCTCTCCACCTTTGTTTTCCTTTTCACTACTTCTATTTTCTCTTGTAGCACATTAGATGTTAGAGTACAATTGTAGTGCTTTTACTGTCAATGAAGGAGGAAAGTTTACTATAGGAATCTTGGCATATCTTTCCCACTTTTTCAGTTGTATGTTCTTCTCTAGTTCTATTCTTAAATGCTCGCAGGGTGAACTGGCTTAGTTGGGTCTCTTTGCTGCATTTCTTTAAAGCTGTTTTTCTCTCCACTGATTCTTGTTGTTCTATGAGGTGATACTGCTCATTATCCCCTACCAGATTTTCCATAAGATCTTAAACACAAGTTTATATTCCAAATCAGTGCTAAGCTCAACTGTTACATGTTTCTATTTAGCAAGGAGATCAAGTGTTGGTTGGATGAAGTCGTTTCTCAGCTCTCCTAGTAGTGATAATTGATTAACATCAGCTAAATTTCTATGAGAAATGATGATGGTCTGTGTTGATAGTTATTTTTTTATACATTTCTCATTTTTGGCATCAAAAGTTTGTTTAAATATGTATGGCCAGAGCTGTCTCAACTGTCCACCTTGGAAATAGGTGCTTAATAAATAATTATTGAATGAATATCATTTGATATTGCTTTCTAGTTATTTCATGTACATGGGTCTTGGTGCCAAGCTCCCTGAGGTTGGGGACTATGTCTTCTCCTCAGTGTCTAGTACATAGACCCAAGGCCCAGAATGGACTGTATTTAGTCTTGAGAGGTTTTTCACTAACGTATCTCTTTTTAAGTCATGTCTCCACCCAGAGATTCCCCTGGGAACACCAGAATTTGGCTCATTTTGCCTCCCCCTAGGGTATCTTTTGTGAATAAATAGATTTCTCTCATTTTGTCCTATCTCAGAGTTTATCAGGAGAACATGAGAACATTTGACATGTTTTACTTCCATCCAGGGTTTCCCTTAGGAATATCAGAATTTGTCTGGGCTCTTGGTCTCCGTAGAAAAGATAAAGGGTCCCTAGCTAAGATAAATAACATATAGAATGCAAGAGAGGTTTAAAACAAAAAAGACAAAGGACCTACAGTGAAGTCTACAATTAGTCCTATTCTGGGTAGAGCTGCCCTTGAAAGTGAAAAAAATCTTCATGGACTAAAGAGTCAATTGCTTTCTCTAGACCTGCACAGTCCAAAAAAATCCCCAAACTGGTGAAGAGCAAGGTCAAGGTTTGTTTCTCCGTTTCTGGCTTTCATTGCTTCTTAGCTCTGTATCCTGCTTGATCACAGAAGGCCTGTACCTGGTGAGGAACTCACCACTGTCTAGAGAGCTTCCTCTGTTTTAGGAATTCTTACACCAATCAACCTCTGAAGAAGGTTGCTCAAGTTTCTACAGCTCATGCAGAACTCACCATTTCTATCTCAGTCTGTTGCTGCCTTTGGGGTCACATGATTTGGGTCAGTGGAAGGAGAACTAGCTCTTGAGTCAGAAGACTTGGGTTCAAATCCTCTTTCACTACCTGAATGACCCTGGCCAAATCACTTAAGCTCCTTGGGCCTCACTTTCCTCTTCTATAAAATAAAGAAGTTCAACTAGCTGGTTTCTGAAGTTCCTTTCAGCACCAGATCTAGAATCCCATGATCCTCTCCTGAGGGGCCAACATGGCTCCTTGGATAAGCCATAAGGCCCTATCTAGTTCCTTTCCAGAGAAGGAGAGTCTGTGTGTATCTGACTAGCTTATTGTTGCCTGCTTCAATGCTGACTTTTTTTTTTAAATTTGTGTTTTCATTTAAAAGCCAGCTCCAAGTGGATATTCCATATGACCCTCCTTGTTGACTACCTCAAGTGGCCTTTCCATTTTATAGGTTACTGTTGTGTTGTCACACGTAAATTATCTTCTCACTTAGTATCTAAGTTTTCTAAACTATGAAGTGGGACTAATTTCCCTTTGGGGACTTTATAGACCACAATCAGGAGGTGGTACAATATAATGCAAATACCACGGGAGTAGACAAGAAAACCTGAGCTTTTAATTTTCATTCTGTCACTTACTAGCTACTTTGGTCAAGTGAAATTTTTTTTTAATACTTGTTTCTTCATCTGAGAAACAAGGATAATCATTCCTGTCTTTCCTACCTTATAAGACTACTGAAGGATAAAATGAAACAATGCATATGAAAGCAGTTTATAAAATATAAAGCAACTCAAGGTCATCTTTTCCACATCATTACTGAGATGATGCTGGCAAACACTGGGATGATCTGCTCTTACATTTGTAAGCTAGTATTGACACAATTAAATCTCTATGAGAAGACATGGGATCAGAGAATCAGAGGATTTAGAGCTAAAAAGGCCTTCACATTACAGAGATGAGAAAAATGAAGCCCAGGGAAGACAGGTCACTTACCCAAAGATGAAGCTAGTGAGAAGTAGGGGCAGAATTCATACTCAGGTTCTCAATATCCAAGTCCAGTGCTCTTTCTGCTACTCCAGAGCTGTTTCCAAGTCACTGATACTCCCTCCCTAATTGGGAACTCAGACTTTCTTGAAAAGAAAATATATCAGACAAAAAGAGAGGCCTAACTTCCAGAACCAAAGGTCAACTCCAAGCTCCACATGGGAACTGTTCTTCTCTCATCCTGCCACCAAAACTGTTGGGAGCGGTGGCCCCTCCTGTCACTTCACTGCTGTCATTACATGGAAAGAAATAATTCCAGGTAAAAAGGGAGTTCAATTCTTAGAGTAAATCCCTTTCTTGCCGGAGAATGGTTATTCTACAGACTACTAGGAAAATGCCTGAATGCACTGATAGCCCAAGCCTGCCTCCTCCTGGTTCTTATTTATTTCTAACAGGACTCTAAATTTATACACACTCACATACACACACACACACACACACACACACACACACACACATTTATACATATATATATGTATGTATATAAGGCACCAGACTTCCTATGTCCTTTCTTTTGCCATATTTTCTTAGGTAATGCTTCACGTGTTTCTCATCTTTCAAAGCTTTGATCCGTTTGAAAGGACTCAGGAAAGAATCCTACCACTAATCTATGAGTAAATACTCAACAGCTAGCCTGACAGTACTGAGAGGAAGAGCTAATACTCTTATACACAGAAGGTAGAGTTGTTGGACCTTGGAATCTACTCCCAATGGGAGGCAAACAATCAATCAATCAATATGAAGTATTATACAAATACAAAGAATAAAGCAGCCCCTACTTGTAAGAAGTTTAAATTCTAATGGGAAACATCCCAAGTAAATATATAAATATATGCAGCATAAATATACAGTGAATAACTACAAATATATGAAATAATTATATACAAGGTAGTTTGGGCAAGAGGGCACTAGCAGTTGGGAGCCTCAAGAAAGGTGATGGTGCTGGAGGTGGGCCTTAAAGGTAAAAAGGGGCTCAGTAAGGTGGAGGTAAGAAGAGAATGTATTGCAGGAATGGGAGATGGTCAGTGCAAGGGCACAGAAACCATGACAGAGTGAGGAACAGGGAGAAGGCTCATTTGGATGGAATGAAGATTGTGGAATGAGAAGTAATGTCCAATGAAGCCAGAAAGGTAGGCTGGGGTTGGGGTTGGGTTGTGAAAGGCTTTGAAAGCTAAACAGAGGGGTTTATATTTTATTTTAGAGGCAGCAGGAAGTCACTGGAATGGATTGAGTAGGGGAGTCTCCTATCTATGCTTAAGGAAAATTACTTTGGCAGCAGTGTGTAGGATGGACTGTAGTGGTAAGTGACTTGAGTGAGAGAGACTCACTAGGAGGTTGTTTCAGTAATCTAGGCAAGATGTGATGAGGGCCTGAACTAAGGGATAGCTGTGTTCGTGGAGGGAAGAGATCAGATATGAGAGACGTAGAAGTAGGAAGAACAAGATTTGGCAACTGATTGGATTTGGAGTGAGAAATTGACCTGGGAGTCTGGAAAGACGATGTTGCCTTCAACAGAAATAAGGAAGAGGTTTGGAAAAGAAGTATTTTTTGGGGGAAAAATAATAAGTTCATTTCTGGACCTGCTGTGTTTGGGATATTTTTATAATCCAACCTGAAATATTCAATAGGCCAACGATGATGTGGGGCTGAAGCTCCAGGGAAAGACTGGGGCTGGATATTTAGACAGATAGTTGGGTATCTATCTTTATCTGTCCAATCATTTGTCTATCTGTCTATCTATATCTATCTGTCCATCTATCTATATCTATCTATCTATCTACCTCTGTTAGTCAGCTTGCTTAAAGAAGACAGTTAAACCCATGGAAACTGATAAGGTCCTACAAAATTATACACCTCTATAGGAAACAATGCCCCATAGGGTGTTTTGTACAGAGAAGATGCTTAATATTATTTTGATATTTCCATAGATCTGGTAATCATCAATGTAGGTAACTTCCTTCAACAATGAATATTCTAACCCATCCATGTCTATCCGTACCATGCAACTCTTCTCCATGTCCTCCCATAATGTGTCAAAGGGATCCGCTAACTGCGTGGGGCCCTTCCTCTAAAATTTCCGACACTGCAATGCCACCATGCAGGCTCTCCATTGGTTATACAGTCAATCCTCAACATTTGTGTGATTAACTTTCATGACTTCAAGCATTTGCATGATTTCATTAGCAACCTCATTTTCACTTTCATGTTGGTAACCATGCACATTTGCAGCTATGTGTGGTAGAGAAAAAAATGAGAGGCACAGTGTGTGCAAGTTTGTGGAGTGGCTGGTATCCTACAAGGCACTTCACTGGTCTTGTTCTCCCTACCACTACAGAGAGCTCCCCCTGTGCATTTGGAGTGTTGGAGGTGATGCTGAGACCCCTTGCCAGTAACCTCTCCCTTGTGGTTTTCAGAGGGCAGGAAGGGTAGAGAGGTTTACAGCAGTATAGTACTGTCTGAAATCAATGTTGTTTTTTTTTTTTTTAAATTGAGATGTGAGTACAAAAGATCATAGAATTCTAGGGAAGTATTCGTGAGAAAAAATGCTATCTATGCATGTCGCCAATTTTATTTTGTGTGCTATATTTTATGGGTTATTTCATAGTTACTGTATTAGGAAAAGAACATGTTATCAGAATTAATGTTTTGTTATAAAGAACTGTATAGGGGCAGCTAGGTGGCACAGTGGATAGAGCACTGGCCCTGAAATCAGGAGGACCTGAGTTCAAATCCAGCCTCAGACCAAACACTTGACACTTACTAGCTGTGTGACCCTGGGCAAGTCACTTAACCCCAATTGCCTAAAAAAAAAAGAGAGAGAGAGAGATGAAAGAACTGTATGTAGAAAACTGTATTTTCAGTGATCTCTAGCAAAATATTTCAGTTTTTGGTGGTCGTGAGAATCTGACCTCCCATTTCCCATGGGTTCAATGTTATCAACATTTGTATTTTTTACTTTAGTGCTGTTTTGTAGGAACATCACCTCTGAGAAAGTTGAGGATTGACTGTACTTCACTCTCATGATTAACCAGCCCCTCTTTCTTCCCCAGTAATATATATCTCTGATGACATTCTTCACAATATAATGGAACCTGCCAGAGC